TGAGATTTCCTTGCCATGTGACCTTCAATTTTCTGTAAAATGGGCTTAGTACCCAGAACCTTGGAGGGTTATTTTGAGGATTAGAAATTATAAAAGTTCTAGCACAGGTATGGGCACAGAAAAAGGCACTCAGTATTTGGTAATTATCTCCAACACTGTCTGAGGCAAGCCTTGACTAAATTTATGCATTGACAAAAAGATAGTGGTTACAGAAGATGCACAGAAGAATTTGCCAAGCAAAACTGAGCTACAATTTACAACAATCTCTCCACCACACCACCAACTCTAAAACGTAAGCTCTTTAATCACTGGAAACTTTTTCCAGAGGAAGAAATATGAAGATGTAAAACTAGTACGTATAAGGGACTTCCCGTGGGCTAAAAAAACTCAAAATTATTAAAATAGTTCATGACTTACAATATCTGAAAGGTAAAAACCTGAAGAAACAGGGTGCAAAGTTTTGCAAAACATACACTGGAGTCAAGAAAAGGTGGTTTCTCCTCTATTCCACTTTATTCTAGCTGGCCACATCAAGAGCACATTTCTCTGGCAGGAAACCCTTTGTGAGGATACAGAAAGGGTACTCTGGATAATACTTTCTTTCCATTTTTGTACAACTGCACCATTTATTTAACTAGAATAATGCACAGCACTTTGGACGAACAAATGGCTATAATTTAGCCAAGGTCTCTGCTGACAGCCTGAAAGTAAAGGCAATGAACAATCAGGATTCGATTATTACTTTAGTGATCCTCGCAGATGTCAGATTTATTAGCACATGGTGTGTCTTTGTAACATGAATGCAAGAGTTACACACATGGGCATTCGGTCACCTCCTACAGTACACGAAATCAGAAAGATCTGCATTGTCAGGAAAGACATACTACCCACAAGGAGAAGTTTCTTGGATTTGCTATCAGAGCCACTAAAAGACCTATGTCTGGCTTCCAAAACAAAGAAACTAAAAATCTCAAATGACTACATTTTTGTAAGCCTACATTTAAATAATATACCATCATGCTCTACAAGTAGACCAGACTAAACATTGTTTCACTACCAGAATTCATTCTACATCAAGTTTATACTTGATGTTGAGTATAAATTTACATACAGCTAAGTTTATACTAACAGAAAAAGGAAACTGTCTGTAGAGTTGAAGCACAAGAGAATATGCTAAAGGGCAAGTACAAACTAAGAATGAGGATATTCCAGAAAAGAGACTGAAAAGAATATGACAGAAATCTATTTTTATTTGAGTCCTGTGACTGAGAAACATTCCACTTAAAAAATCTGAATTTCTTCTTAAATCAATGATTTTTCAAAGGTGAAAGCACATTAAGAATTACTTGGGATGCATGGTGTGTGTCTTCTTTACACCATGGCAATACCTCCATCTCACAACTGTTACTGAATCACTATCATTGTTATTAAGTCAATGTTACTGACAGAAGGAAGCTGGAGCCTTCAGGTACATTGTGGTAAATACTGATGATGATAATGAATAAACTGCTATTTCCTGAATGACCAGAAAAAGCCATAGTTCACTAAATCTTAAAATCTAACAAGAGCAAAAATGACAAAGGGTGAAGAAGATCTAATGCAAGGATCACCAGGATATGAAAAAGGAAGAATAACAGTATCTTCTAGTGAATATCAAGTTCTAAAACAGAGGAACAGAAAATGAGTAGATAATTCAAAATACAAAACAATATTCAGTCTCCAATTACAGGAAGTGAGCAAGGCTTTGTAAAAAGAACCGTAGGACTGAGGAACTAAATCCAAATTAGCCAAATTCAACTCCTGACCAATTTCTGATAGGCTGGACCACGTAACAAGTAATAATGGAGAACAGTCCAGGGCGGGGAGTATGGTAGGGGACAGGTCAGAAACAAAGGTAAAGTCAGAGAGGTCTGTTTTTGTACAAGGTACCAAAGATGCTCACATGAATTTTATAAACAAGTGTAAATATTGTCTTGACTTACAGATCAATTTTTAACATCTCTATGTAACTTCATTTGGAGTTTTATTTGGCTCAATGTTATCAACCTCAGCTGCAAAATTAAAAGAGTTTAGGTATCCTTAAAATACCAATGTCTAGGTCCTGTCTCCCAGAAATTCTGTTTAACTCTTGTAGGTTTGGGCCTAAACACTGATAGCATTTTCTTTGTATGGTACTAACGTGGGACCAATTACACAGCTAGACTTGAAAACCAAAGCCTGCAATAAAAGGTAAGCAGCTGCCATGCTTCACTGGCGGCACAACACTGACCTCTATGGGTAAGGTTCTGAAACCAATGATAAAATGAGCATGTCTTGAGGCCTTGTTGGTAGTCTTTCTGAAATGAACACTGAGGTACTGAGTCATGTTGTTTGCCAGATAATCTTTTAACTCTAACCCAGGCCAAATGGGGTTCTGGGTCAAATTTTACCACTCCTAGCAACACTATTCTTCCTAGAGAGTAAAAAAAGATCTTTGACAAAATAATTTCAAGAGTTTCTTGCTATCCCTCAATTTGGGGCAGAGGAGGGGACTCTTTCCAGACTGTGTTTACCGCTTAAGACAAGAGTACAAGGCATCTGAGTTTTCCAATAGCAATAGTTTAAATACCAAACTGAAGTGGTTCACAGTGATTACTGATGTGGTCCATGTACCTCGGATGGGAGTCTGTTAAAATACACACTCTGAGGTCTCACTCCAGACCAACTAAACCAGAACCTGTCTTGTACAAGATCTCCAGGAGATTTATATGAGTATTATAGTTTCAGAAGCACAGCTGTAAGGCAAGGATGCATTCAAGAAATAATGGCACTACCTATACAGACTAAGTGAAAACTCTGAGGACTATTTCCTCTTCAAAATAGTTCATGCAAGAACAATAAAAGCATTTTAAAAATGGCATAGTCTCCTGCTATCTTAGAAACTCATCTTCCACAAAGCCAGTTTTAGGCTCTCCTTGTGATGTCCTCTTAAAAGCAATCTTGGTTCTGAGTAAATATACATTTAACCACATATAGATCCAAAGTAAAAAGAAGGCTTTTACCCCTTCTCATTTTGATTTCTGGGATATATTAATATCATAGAATAAGTTGAAGAAAATTGTATATAAACCCTTTCTGAGGCTGTAATGCCAAATATACCATTTAAAACCCCAAAGACAGAAAAAGCTAAAATTTTGAATCACTCAGGAACATTACTGGGCCTACATAGCAAAATATGCAGAAATCCAATTGGAAAAATAACTTCCCACCCTGAAAAGAACATACTTTACAAAAAAAGAAAAAGAAAAAAGTCCCATTTGTGACCTTGGCTACCAGAATCTAAGAAAATTTTAACAATTACTATCTGAAGTAATATTTTCAGGAATTCTAACAAGATAACTGGACAGCTAGGTAAAATAAAAAGAGAAACCTCACTGGTGTTAAGAGCCAGGAAGAGCTAATACAAAGCCAAATAGTAATAACATGTCTCTTTCCTTTTGTGCTAAAGTGGGTCAAGAAACAAGAGCATAGAATCCTAGGCCAGACAACATCAAAATAGAGCACCTTTTTCTCCTCCATCCTTCAATCTTAATTTGTCAGTTTAAGGTTCAATGAGTGCACCATGTCGCACCAGCCACCAGGAATTACTAAGCAGGGTTGTTAAAACATAAACTTGAGGAAGATGTAACCTTTAACTTGTGGTTGATGTGTCAACAGAATAGGTAGAGCTATTTCAACATTCAGGGAAGTCTCCAAGAGTATTTTAATATTCATTAATCAGTCTCCTAAGTCTATAAACCTATACAGGAATGCAGAATGATCATATGAGGAATCTATTTTTCTTATATAATCAGTGAACACTTGTTAAAGGCATGAATATGAAAATTAAATGCTTATATTCCCAGAAAGACAATGGTAGTGGATTTCAGAGCTTAAGTCAGTGTATAGTCTCTGGAAGCAGTGAACTGGCATTAGAAAAATACACAATCCAAAGAGGTATGACTGTAACCCTGTTTCCTTAGACTCTGGCAGCCAAAAAGTAAATGTACCTTTACTGGCTGGCATAAATCCAGACATAATACTGCTCATAAAGTAGAAGAGAAAATGCCAGTGTATACAGCAGAAAGTAAGGCTTGTTTTGTTTATGCAGTCTCTGAAAACACGTATTTTCATATGTATGGCATCTGTTTTCCAATTTCTGATGTTGGGAAATAAAGCAGTTTGTTGGGCATCTTTATAGGCATCAGATTGATAAACAACTTATTTGCAAGCGTCTAGCTGTAGAAGTCCCTCTAACACCACCATAGTTAAGTATCTAGTTTGCATGGAGCCATATGATGGCCTTCTTCACACAAATGGAAGGTCATCCTTAATATTTCTCATTTATCATGTACAGCAACCAAACTAATTTTGGTTCCTATTGGTAGTATATATTCTACATATTCACAGATATTCTGGACTTTGCAGCCTTTTAGTATTAGAATCCTGGAAGCTAATTACATTGGAAGTATGACTGGGGTTGTGGGGGGAGGGACACCAATCAAACAGTAATAAAGATACACTTTTTATGTAAATGACTGCCTCAAAACTTTTCAGAATTAGGGCACAAGCCAATAAAAAGGCCAAAGTTTAAAAGCTTCAAAATATTGTGATCTGTACAAGGTCATTTAAGTGCTGTTCAGGTCAAAAGGGTAATTACAGGGATTATCCAGAGCTAAGAAGCAGGAGCAATTAATAATAAGCTCTGGAAAGGATATTAAATGTTATGACTGTTGAACAGTGGTTGGTTAAACATTAGAAGTTCTACTTATAGGCAGGACAGCAAAGCAATCCTGTATACCTGCAGACATACCCAATACCAACAGTGGGCAGTATCAATTTATTTTCAAAAGACAATCCTGTCCTTTATCAAAGGACATTGCTCTGCTCATCAAGGAAAGGTCTGTTCTAAAAAAACTGAGTAAAGTTCTTTAAGGAATCCAGAACTAAAAATAACTGAAAGAGAGAAGAAAGATGCTTACCAGACTATCTAGTCCTCCTCCCAAGAGATCCACTGCTCCCATCTGCATGGAGGATACCTGTGGCACATTGACTGGGGGACCAAGGTCAAGGTTTAAAAGGTCCCCCAGGAGGTCACCTTGAGAGGGGATAACCTGAGTCTGTTCCAGGTTGGTGGCAGTGGTGGTGCCAACAGGGCTGTCGCCCGCATCAGTGCTGCAGGTAAACACACAAGGTGGGGAAAAAGAAGTTGGTTTCACCCAGGACAAGATAAAAGACAACAAGTCAGTATCAAATATACAAAACACAGGAGGAAAAAAAACTTATTTTGTAATCATTTGTTGATATACATGCAGAGATGCCAGCAATTCTTGTTTTTATCCAAATAAAGTTGCTAAAATGAAAATAAATATATACTATACTCTTATCAGTCAGTCATTTTAATTGAGCACCTACTCTATGAGAGAGCACCATAATAAGAACTCTGGACTAGGAAAAAAAAGAAACACATTTCCTGTCCTCAAATAACTTCACTTTAACAAACAGAAAAACAGCACTCAAAAAACAGTTGAAAGGCACACTTGTAATAGCAGAAATTAGTATTGTGTGAGTGTCCTCTTGTGACAGGATAAAGATTGACTCTGTTTACATTCCTGTGTACATTCTGCTGGGCACTCCGGAGATTGTGGACCCCAGTTAGAGAAGGACCAATATTAAGTGGAACTGGACTCTATTCTAGAAGATGACAATAATAAACACACTGGAGGAACCAGAGGATAGTGGAAGGCCTATAAACTTTGAAGTTTTGAAGAAATCCTGGGTTCAGACCCTGACTCTGAGATTTCCTTGCCATGTGACCTTCAATTTTCTGTAAAATGGGCTTAGTACCCAGAACCTTGGAGGGTTATTTTGAGGATTAGAAATTATAAAAGTTCTAGCACAGGTATGGGCACAGAAAAAGGCACTCAGTATTTGGTAATTATCTCCAACACTGTCTGAGGCAAGCCTTGACTAAATTTATGCATTGACAAAAAGATAGTGGTTACAGAAGATGCACAGAAGAATTTGCCAAGCAAAACTGAGCTACAATTTACAACAATCTCTCCACCACACCACCAACTCTAAAACGTAAGCTCTTTAATCACTGGAAACTTTTTCCAGAGGAAGAAATATGAAGATGTAAAACTAGTACGTATAAGGGACTTCCCGTGGGCTAAAAAAACTCAAAATTATTAAAATAGTTCATGACTTACAATATCTGAAAGGTAAAAACCTGAAGAAACAGGGTGCAAAGTTTTGCAAAACATACACTGGAGTCAAGAAAAGGTGGTTTCTCCTCTATTCCACTTTATTCTAGCTGGCCACATCAAGAGCACATTTCTCTGGCAGGAAACCCTTTGTGAGGATACAGAAAGGGTACTCTGGATAATACTTTCTTTCCATTTTTGTACAACTGCACCATTTATTTAACTAGAATAATGCACAGCACTTTGGACGAACAAATGGCTATAATTTAGCCAAGGTCTCTGCTGACAGCCTGAAAGTAAAGGCAATGAACAATCAGGATTCGATTATTACTTTAGTGATCCTCGCAGATGTCAGATTTATTAGCACATGGTGTGTCTTTGTAACATGAATGCAAGAGTTACACACATGGGCATTCGGTCACCTCCTACAGTACACGAAATCAGAAAGATCTGCATTGTCAGGAAAGACATACTACCCACAAGGAGAAGTTTCTTGGATTTGCTATCAGAGCCACTAAAAGACCTATGTCTGGCTTCCAAAACAAAGAAACTAAAAATCTCAAATGACTACATTTTTGTAAGCCTACATTTAAATAATATACCATCATGCTCTACAAGTAGACCAGACTAAACATTGTTTCACTACCAGAATTCATTCTACATCAAGTTTATACTTGATGTTGAGTATAAATTTACATACAGCTAAGTTTATACTAACAGAAAAAGGAAACTGTCTGTAGAGTTGAAGCACAAGAGAATATGCTAAAGGGCAAGTACAAACTAAGAATGAGGATATTCCAGAAAAGAGACTGAAAAGAATATGACAGAAATCTATTTTTATTTGAGTCCTGTGACTGAGAAACATTCCACTTAAAAAATCTGAATTTCTTCTTAAATCAATGATTTTTCAAAGGTGAAAGCACATTAAGAATTACTTGGGATGCATGGTGTGTGTCTTCTTTACACCATGGCAATACCTCCATCTCACAACTGTTACTGAATCACTATCATTGTTATTAAGTCAATGTTACTGACAGAAGGAAGCTGGAGCCTTCAGGTACATTGTGGTAAATACTGATGATGATAATGAATAAACTGCTATTTCCTGAATGACCAGAAAAAGCCATAGTTCACTAAATCTTAAAATCTAACAAGAGCAAAAATGACAAAGGGTGAAGAAGATCTAATGCAAGGATCACCAGGATATGAAAAAGGAAGAATAACAGTATCTTCTAGTGAATATCAAGTTCTAAAACAGAGGAACAGAAAATGAGTAGATAATTCAAAATACAAAACAATATTCAGTCTCCAATTACAGGAAGTGAGCAAGGCTTTGTAAAAAGAACCGTAGGACTGAGGAACTAAATCCAAATTAGCCAAATTCAACTCCTGACCAATTTCTGATAGGCTGGACCACGTAACAAGTAATAATGGAGAACAGTCCAGGGCGGGGAGTATGGTAGGGGACAGGTCAGAAACAAAGGTAAAGTCAGAGAGGTCTGTTTTTGTACAAGGTACCAAAGATGCTCACATGAATTTTATAAACAAGTGTAAATATTGTCTTGACTTACAGATCAATTTTTAACATCTCTATGTAACTTCATTTGGAGTTTTATTTGGCTCAATGTTATCAACCTCAGCTGCAAAATTAAAAGAGTTTAGGTATCCTTAAAATACCAATGTCTAGGTCCTGTCTCCCAGAAATTCTGTTTAACTCTTGTAGGTTTGGGCCTAAACACTGATAGCATTTTCTTTGTATGGTACTAACGTGGGACCAATTACACAGCTAGACTTGAAAACCAAAGCCTGCAATAAAAGGTAAGCAGCTGCCATGCTTCACTGGCGGCACAACACTGACCTCTATGGGTAAGGTTCTGAAACCAATGATAAAATGAGCATGTCTTGAGGCCTTGTTGGTAGTCTTTCTGAAATGAACACTGAGGTACTGAGTCATGTTGTTTGCCAGATAATCTTTTAACTCTAACCCAGGCCAAATGGGGTTCTGGGTCAAATTTTACCACTCCTAGCAACACTATTCTTCCTAGAGAGTAAAAAAAGATCTTTGACAAAATAATTTCAAGAGTTTCTTGCTATCCCTCAATTTGGGGCAGAGGAGGGGACTCTTTCCAGACTGTGTTTACCGCTTAAGACAAGAGTACAAGGCATCTGAGTTTTCCAATAGCAATAGTTTAAATACCAAACTGAAGTGGTTCACAGTGATTACTGATGTGGTCCATGTACCTCGGATGGGAGTCTGTTAAAATACACACTCTGAGGTCTCACTCCAGACCAACTAAACCAGAACCTGTCTTGTACAAGATCTCCAGGAGATTTATATGCGTATTATAGTTTCAGAAGCACAGCTGTAAGGCAAGGATGCATTCAAGAAATAATGGCACTACCTATACAGACTAAGTGAAAACTCTGAGGACTATTTCCTCTTCAAAATAGTTCATGCAAGAACAATAAAAGCATTTTAAAAATGGCATAGTCTCCTGCTATCTTAGAAACTCATCTTCCACAAAGCCAGTTTTAGGCTCTCCTTGTGATGTCCTCTTAAAAGCAATCTTGGTTCTGAGTAAATATACATTTAACCACATATAGATCCAAAGTAAAAAGAAGGCTTTTACCCCTTCTCATTTTGATTTCTGGGATATATTAATATCATAGAATAAGTTGAAGAAAATTGTATATAAACCCTTTCTGAGGCTGTAATGCCAAATATACCATTTAAAACCCCAAAGACAGAAAAAGCTAAAATTTTGAATCACTCAGGAACATTACTGGGCCTACATAGCAAAATATGCAGAAATCCAATTGGAAAAATAACTTCCCACCCTGAAAAGAACATACTTTACAAAAAAAGAAAAAGAAAAAAGTCCCATTTGTGACCTTGGCTACCAGAATCTAAGAAAATTTTAACAATTACTATCTGAAGTAATATTTTCAGGAATTCTAACAAGATAACTGGACAGCTAGGTAAAATAAAAAGAGAAACCTCACTGGTGTTAAGAGCCAGGAAGAGCTAATACAAAGCCAAATAGTAATAACATGTCTCTTTCCTTTTGTGCTAAAGTGGGTCAAGAAACAAGAGCATAGAATCCTAGGCCAGACAACATCAAAATAGAGCACCTTTTTCTCCTCCATCCTTCAATCTTAATTTGTCAGTTTAAGGTTCAATGAGTGCACCATGTCGCACCAGCCACCAGGAATTACTAAGCAGGGTTGTTAAAACATAAACTTGAGGAAGATGTAACCTTTAACTTGTGGTTGATGTGTCAACAGAATAGGTAGAGCTATTTCAACATTCAGGGAAGTCTCCAAGAGTATTTTAATATTCATTAATCAGTCTCCTAAGTCTATAAACCTATACAGGAATGCAGAATGATCATATGAGGAATCTATTTTTCTTATATAATCAGTGAACACTTGTTAAAGGCATGAATATGAAAATTAAATGCTTATATTCCCAGAAAGACAATGGTAGTGGATTTCAGAGCTTAAGTCAGTGTATAGTCTCTGGAAGCAGTGAACTGGCATTAGAAAAATACACAATCCAAAGAGGTATGACTGTAACCCTGTTTCCTTAGACTCTGGCAGCCAAAAAGTAAATGTACCTTTACTGGCTGGCATAAATCCAGACATAATACTGCTCATAAAGTAGAAGAGAAAATGCCAGTGTATACAGCAGAAAGTAAGGCTTGTTTTGTTTATGCAGTCTCTGAAAACACGTATTTTCATATGTATGGCATCTGTTTTCCAATTTCTGATGTTGGGAAATAAAGCAGTTTGTTGGGCATCTTTATAGGCATCAGATTGATAAACAACTTATTTGCAAGCGTCTAGCTGTAGAAGTCCCTCTAACACCACCATAGTTAAGTATCTAGTTTGCATGGAGCCATATGATGGCCTTCTTCACACAAATGGAAGGTCATCCTTAATATTTCTCATTTATCATGTACAGCAACCAAACTAATTTTGGTTCCTATTGGTAGTATATATTCTACATATTCACAGATATTCTGGACTTTGCAGCCTTTTAGTATTAGAATCCTGGAAGCTAATTACATTGGAAGTATGACTGGGGTTGTGGGGGGAGGGACACCAATCAAACAGTAATAAAGATACACTTTTTATGTAAATGACTGCCTCAAAACTTTTCAGAATTAGGGCACAAGCCAATAAAAAGGCCAAAGTTTAAAAGCTTCAAAATATTGTGATCTGTACAAGGTCATTTAAGTGCTGTTCAGGTCAAAAGGGTAATTACAGGGATTATCCAGAGCTAAGAAGCAGGAGCAATTAATAATAAGCTCTGGAAAGGATATTAAATGTTATGACTGTTGAACAGTGGTTGGTTAAACATTAGAAGTTCTACTTATAGGCAGGACAGCAAAGCAATCCTGTATACCTGCAGACATACCCAATACCAACAGTGGGCAGTATCAATTTATTTTCAAAAGACAATCCTGTCCTTTATCAAAGGACATTGCTCTGCTCATCAAGGAAAGGTCTGTTCTAAAAAAACTGAGTAAAGTTCTTTAAGGAATCCAGAACTAAAAATAACTGAAAGAGAGAAGAAAGATGCTTACCAGACTATCTAGTCCTCCTCCCAAGAGATCCACTGCTCCCATCTGCATGGAGGATACCTGTGGCACATTGACTGGGGGACCAAGGTCAAGGTTTAAAAGGTCCCCCAGGAGGTCACCTTGAGAGGGGATAACCTGAGTCTGTTCCAGGTTGGTGGCAGTGGTGGTGCCAACAGGGCTGTCGCCCGCATCAGTGCTGCAGGTAAACACACAAGGTGGGGAAAAAGAAGTTGGTTTCACCCAGGACAAGATAAAAGACAACAAGTCAGTATCAAATATACAAAACACAGGAGGAAAAAAAACTTATTTTGTAATCATTTGTTGATATACATGCAGAGATGCCAGCAATTCTTGTTTTTATCCAAATAAAGTTGCTAAAATGAAAATAAATATATACTATACTCTTATCAGTCAGTCATTTTAATTGAGCACCTACTCTATGAGAGAGCACCATAATAAGAACTTTGGACTAGGAAAAAAAAGAAACACATTTCCTGTCCTCAAATAACTTCACTTTAACAAACAGAAAAACAGCACTCAAAAAACAGTTGAAAGGCACACTTGTAATAGCAGAAATTAGTATTGTGTGAGTGTCCTCTTGTGACAGGATAAAGATCAGAAGTAAAACAAAACCAGGTGGGCCAATTCTAAAAGTTTCTGAGAATGGTTTTATAAGTAGATTTTGAAGAACTGCCATCATTATGAAGAACTACCAGAGAGAGGCCTTCCAAAATGGAAGGGATGGTTTCTTTAAAGGCAAAGAAATGAACAATTTGATTTCAGGGGTGGTAAAAGCAGACTTCTTTGGCAGGAGCAGAGGTTGGGATTAAGGAATTGGGGAAGAAAAGATGAGGGAAATAACTCTGAAAACTAATTTGGAGATCTAGATTAGATTCTTAATTCATCAGGAAAATGCAAATTAAAACTATAATAAGACACCACTATACACCCATCAGGCCAGTTAAAATTAAAATGATTTGACAATACAAAGTGCAGCTGAGAATGTGGATCACCTAGAACTCATAGATTGCTGGAAGGACTGTCCACTGGTACAATAACATGGGAAAACTAACAGTCTCTCCTACAGCTAAGTATACATTTATTGTATGACCCAGCAATTCTACTCCTAGGCATATACACAAGGGAAATGAGTATATAAGTCTACCAAAACACATACACAAGAATATTCATGGAATATTTGTTTGTAAACTGGGAACAATCCAAAGTACATTAAGTGGAGCACCAAACTGGAAACAATCCAACGTATATTAACAGAAGATAAAATGTAGCACAGTTGGGCAATGAGATACCATATACCAATAAATAGGAACACACAACTGATAATACAATACAGATTAGTCTCACACATTATGCTGAACCAAAGAAGCCAGATACAGAAGAGTAAATACTGTACGGTACCACTTACATGATATTCAAGAATAACCAAAACTAATCTACAGTGGTCAAAACAGTGGTTATCTCTGGAGGGTGGGTATTAATAGCAAAGGGGTATGAGATGTCTTCTAAGGTGCTGGAAACATCCTGTATCTGATCAGGGTAGTGGTTATTTGAGAGTATACATACGTAAAAGTCTACTGAGCTAGTACCATTAATACTAAGGTTATTATAAATGATATGTTCATTTAAAAAGTGGGAGAAAAAAATCCTACAAAGAAAATACCAGGCTCAAATGGCTTCAGTATTAATTATTCCAAATATTTAGAAAAAAACAAAAACAGTCTAAAACTTTAAAAGAAAATAAAGGAGTTAGAAAAAGAGATGACAGAGTGAGAAGTGAGGCAGAAACCCCCTCCCCAACATCACAAAACACGAAAATTCAATAAACAGAACTAATCCTGAAAAAGTGACCAAAGACTGGAGAGGAGACTGCCTACAACTGGGAGAAAAAAGAAGACCCCCACAGAAAAGGGTAAAGTAGCAAAGCTCCAATCTGGCGGGACCCAGGCCCTCCCCCAACCCCAGCCCACAGGTGGGAGGAAGAGAAAGAGAGCGCAGAGGGAGCAGAAGCCCAAGACTGCTTAACACCCAGCTCTGGATATCTGCTCTGGGAGAATGAACACACATTACATGGTGCTCTGGACAGTATTGCGGTTGAAAATCAAAGAAGGGAAATCAAAGAGACAGATTCCAGCTGTTTGTGGAGAACAGGTACGCACAACTGGCCCCCATGGGATAAAAGAAAGGTGGGTAGTTTGAAAGACTTCCCAGCACCAAGAGAAGCACTAAAGGGGCAAAGATTACCCAGAGCTCACTGCTCAGGAGAAAGGACAGGTGAACAGAACTGTCCTAGCATGCTCAGCCAAAGAGGTTGGGAACTCTCAGGAGCTTCAGACAGTCCATCCCCATGGGTGGCGATGCAACCCAAGGCACCCCCATGTGGTATGCAGCTTCTGCCTCCTTCCTCTCAGCGTGCATGGGTTCCACTCATCTGATGCCCCCACCATCCAACCAGGCCAGTTGGCGGGTGGCCCTGCCTATGGAAGCTACAGGAGTGTAGCACAGAGGCTCCTCCCTTTGTGCACAGCCCACCGGACCTGTCAGTGGAGGCAGGCATAGAGCTACGAAGGCAGGAAACCCTCTCAGCAAAGCTCTTTCCTCTTGGCAATTATCAGTTCTGGTCACCTGCGACCCCTGCCATTTCTGCAGTGGCACAGCAGCTCCACAGAGTAGAGCTTTGGGGCATTACAGGGCACTGTTTACACTGAGTTATTATTTCATAAGAAACACTAAAAAATTGAGGCAAAGGAATTTGGTCCAAACAAAATTACAAGAAAAAATGCAAGAAACAGGGCTTGGTGACCTGAAATCTTCTTGATAAAGATTTCAAAATAAAAGCCACAAACATGTTCACAGAGCTACAGAAAAATACTCAACATACCAGGGAGGATTTCAACAAAGGGACAGAAATTTTGAAAAATGCAGTATCTGAAATGAAACATACACAGGAGGGATTTTAAAGTAGATTGGTGAGGTAGAGGAGATGGTGAATAAAATAGAAATTAGAGAATAGGAATAAAAATAAGCTCAGGCACAGAAAGAAAAAAGGATCTAGAGGAATTAAAGATTGTTAAGACAACTGTGCAACCAATCCAAACAGAACACTATTCACATTATAGATACCAGAAGAAGAAGTGAAAAGGGGATAGAAAGTTTCTTGAGGAAATAATTGCTGAAAACTTCCCCAATCTAGGGAAGGAAATAGTCACTCAGGTCTTGGAAATACAGAGATCTCTCAACATAAGGAACCCTAGAAAGACACCACCAAGACAAAGAATAATTAAAATGGCTAAGATCAAGGACAAGGAGAGAGTACTGAAAGCAGCCAGAGAGAGAAAAAAGATCACTTATAAAGGAAACCCCATCAGGCTATCAGCAGACTTCTCGGCAGAAACCGTCTAGGCCAGAAGGGAGTGGCATGATATACTTAACGAAATGAAACCAAAGGGTCTCCAACAAAGAATACCCTACCTGGCAAGATTACCATTTAAGTTTGAATCCAGGCTGAAACAATTTCCACATAGGCAAAAGTTGAGAGAATTCACCTCCCACAAAGCATCTCCATAGTGTATCTCAAAGAGACTGTTCCAGATCCCTGGTTCCCAACAGGGGTGGTACCGCCCACTGGTGGGTAGTGAAGAAATCTGGGGGGATGGTTTTGGTCCAAGACATATTAAGGGTGTGTTGGGGACCAGCCGCTGCCCCCTTGGGAAATACTTGCATGAACACAATGAAAGGCCTGATTAATACTCTATTTATAGTGAGTTTGATCAAAGGCAAGGCAACTATTTCTGCATTTGTGTCAAAACCTGACTTGTACAAATGAAATCTGAGTCGAAGACAATTTTACCAGTTTCCAAATCTTTCTTCAGTGCAAACAAATGATGATGACATCTGGTTTAAAGCCAGCATTTGGAAGCACTTAAAGATGATTTTACAAATAGATTTCAGGATTTATTCAACATGATTATTCCAGACTGGGTCCTAGAATCTTCCTTGAACCTACAAATAGCGGAAGTATCACTGCAGGAGGAGTGGATAGAATTGTCAAAAAATGAAGAGCTGAAATTTAAACTAAATGTATTATAAACAATTTTGGATTCAAAGGCAAATTCTAGTATTATATCCAGCCTTATGGGCTGTAGCGAAGAAGCTTTACATTGCATTTCCATCATCATATTTAGCCGAAAGGGGATTTAGCATGGTCAGCAATCTATTAACAAAGAAAAGAAACAAATTGTCAACAGTGAAATGTGGCAATTTAAGATTGCTGATGACCAGAGAAATACAAATTAAAACCAGAATGAGATATCACCTCATACCAGTTAGGATGGCCAACATCCAAAAGACAAACAACAACAAATGTTGGAGAGGATGTGGAGAAAAGGGGTACCCTCCTACACTGCTGGTATGAATGTAAATTAGTTCAACCATTGTGGAAAGCAGTATGGAGGTTACTCAAAAAACTCAAAATAGGAGATGGATTAAAGATGGCGGAGTGAGAGGAGAGACAGAGGCTTCCACGTAAAACTGGATACAATTAGAAAATTTAATTGGCCCAACTAATTCTGAGAGAGAAACAGGAAAGAGGATGGCAGCAGAATGCACACACCTGGAGAAAGGAGCAGACCTCACGGAACGGGATAACGTACTACAGCTATGGCTCCATGGGACCCCCGAGCCCTTCCCCCACCCAAGCTCACCGGAGGGGAGGAAGAGAAACGGAGCAGGTACGGAGTGGAAGGCTTGGGACTGCTGAATACCTAGCTCTGGAGATCTCCGCTGGGAGCACAAACCTACATTTCATGGTGCTTTCATAAGACTTGCATGACAACCGGGTTGGAAAGTTAATACAGGCTGAGTAAGTTCCTGGGGAGACTGGCATTCTGGCTGCTTGTGGAAAGCAGGGATCCATATCCAGC